TGTAATTTTGCAGTGAGAGGACTAGCGCCCCATCACTGATGTCAGTGGGATGAATAGTGTCCCATCGTTGGTATCAGTGGGATGAATATTGCCCCATCATTGGTGTCCGTGGGAGGAATAGTGCCCCATCATTGGTGTCAGTGGGAGGAATAGTGTCCCATCGTTGGTGTCAGTGGGAGGAATAGTGCCCCATCGTTGGTATCAGTGGGAGGAATAGTGCCCCATCGTTGGTATCAGTGGGAGGAATAGTGTCCCATCGTTGGTGTCAGTGGGATGAATAGTGCCCCATCGTTGGTGTCAGTGGGAGGAATAGTGTCCCATCGTTGGTGTCAGTGGGAGGAATAGTGTCCCATCATTGGTATCAGTGGGAGGAATAGTGCCCCATCGTTGGTGTCAGTGGGAGGAATAGTGCCCCATCATTGGTATCAGTGGGAGGAATAGTGCCCCATCATTGGTGTCAGTGGGAGGAATAGTGCCCCATCATTGGTGTCAGTGGGAGAAATAGTGCCCCATCATTGGTATCAGTGGGAGGAATAGTGCTCCATCATTGGTATCAGGGAGGAATAGTGCCCCATCATTGGTGTCAGTGGAAGGAATAGTGCCCCATCATTGGTGTCAGTGGGAGGAATAGTGCCCCATCATTGGTGTCAGTGGGAGGAATAGTGCCCCATCATTGGTGTCAGTGGGAGGAATAGTGCTCCATCATTGGTGTCAGTGGGGGGAATAGTGCCCCATCATTGGTGTCAGTGGGGGGAATAGTGCCCCATCATTGGTGTCAGTGGGAGAAATAGTGCCCCATCATTGGTATCAGTGGGAGGAATAGTGCTCCATCATTGGTATCAGTGGGAGGAATAGTGCCCCATCATTGGTGTCAGTGGAAGGAATAGTGCCTCATCATTGGTGTCAGTGGGAGGAATAGTGCCCCATCATTGGTGTCAGTGGGAGGAATAGTGCCCCATCATTGGTGTCAGTGGGAGGAATAGTGCTCCATCATTGGTGTCAGTGGGGGGAATAGTGCCCCATCATTGGTGTCAGTGGGGGGAATAGTGCCCCATCATTGGTGTCAGTGGGGGGAATAGTGCCCCATCATTGGTGTCAGTGGGAGGAATAGTGCCCCATTGTGGGTGTCAGTGGGAGGAATAGTGCCCCATCATTGGCGTCAGTGGGAGGAATAGTGCCCCATTGTGGGTGTCAGTGGTAGGAATAGTGCCCCATTGTGGGTGTCAGTGGGAGGAATAGTGCCCCATTGTGGGTGTCAGTGGGAGGAATAGTGCCCCATTGTGGGTGTCAGTGGGAGGAATAGTGCCCCATTGTGGGTGTCAGTGGGAGGAATAGTGCCCCATTGTGGGTGTCATTGGGAGGAATAGTGCCTCATCATTGGTGTCAGTGGGAGGAATAGTGCCCCATCATTGGTATCAGTGGGAGGAATAGTGCCCCATCATTGGTGTCAGTGGGAGGAATAGTGCCCCATCATTGGTGTCAGTGGGAGGAATAGTGCCCCATTGTGGGTGTCAGTGGGAGGAATAGTGCCCCATTGTGGGTGTCAGTGGGAGGAATAGTGCCCCATTGTGGGTGTCATTGGGAGGAATAGTGCCTCATCATTGGTGTCAGTGGGAGGAATAGTGCCCCATCATTGGTGTCAGTGGGAGGAATAGTGCCCCATCGTTGGTGTCAGTGGGAGGAATAGTGCCCCATCGTTGGTGTCAGTGGGAGAATAGTGCCCCATCGTTGGTGTCAGTGGGGGGAGGAATAGTGCCCCATCGTTGGTGTCAGTGGGGGGAGGAATAGTGCCCCATCCTTGGTGTCAGTGGGGGGAGGAATAGTGCCCCATCGTTGGTGTCAGTGGGGGGGAGGAATAGTGCCCCATCGTTGGTATTAGTGACAGCAATGATGGGGCACTATCCCTTCCACTGACACCAATGATGGGGCACTATTCCCCCCACTGATACCAATGATGGGACACTATTCCTCCCACTGACACCAATGATGGGGCACTATTCCTCCCACTGACACCAATGATACTTACCTTGCTGACTCCAGCCTGGGCTCTCTCCCTCTCCCATCTACAGCCTGCATACCTGGCTGCAGCAGCAAAATTTGCACTTACCTGTCAGCTGTCTTCCTTCTCTGGCCTCTCTCTTCACTCGCTCCTGCAGCTCCCTCGATCTTCTTCGATCTCCGCGCGCTGCCGCTCGGCTCCTCCTCTCCAAGCTCCACCTCCTCGCCGGCGATTGGCCGCCTGTGTGCCTCTCCTGAGATACAGTTCCGGTGGCCAATCAGCGGCGAGGAGGCGGAGCTGTTGAGTGATCCCGGAGGTGTGGCCAGGTTACAGGGGCAGCATATCATCCCGCCCACAGATCTCCTGAGTCGGGAGCGGTGTCTCGGTTCCTAAGACCATTGGAAATATGTGTTTTCCGATGGTCTTAGGCGACCCCTGGGAAATGGTCGTTCGACCCCCTAAGGGGTCGCGACCCCCAGGTTGAGAACCGCTGCTCTATAGGATGGCAGCCATAAACCACCAAAACACGCCATTATAGAAAGACTCTTTATGGACTTTACTGATTTTACCATTTGTGTGCCTCTACCACTTATCATGGTTTTCTGCTAGTTCATGTTGAACTATACCACTTACCTTATCCTAATTCCCCAAATCCCCCCAACCCCCCCCTTTTTTTCCCTCCCCTATTCTTCCTACTGTACTGTGGAGTACCTATGCGCTGAGCACCAGATCTTTTTCTGTTTTCGGCTAAAAAAAAGTTAGGAGCCATTGTAACGGAACCGGACCCCAACTGCACTTGGGTATTTCCATTAGAATCCCACTTCCCTGTCTGAACACAGATCCACGGACACCACTCAAAGTAAAACCAGGAAATAGACGGCTTTATTAACACAGACACAAGATATAAATATTCAAGGGAACAACCCACCTCCCTGCATAAGCACAGGGCGGGGCAAACCAAATCTAGCAACAAGAAACACATCAGCAGACACCCCCCACCAAGCCAATACACAAACACATACATCCCATAATAGTTTGCTCCCAAGCAAGACACACAGTAGAACAATGGGATGCACCACATGGCAGTAAACAATGAACAACCCCCACACCCCACCTATACATGTCTACACAATATCAGGACATTTCACCCTGTACCCCTAACAGGCACAGGGTGACTTACACATAATAGGGATATGGGGAGCCATTGAAAAATAATGACACCTGAACCTGCGTTTCGTGATCACAGCGATTCTGCTGTGATACCAAAACACCCAGGTGTGAATGGAGCCATCCTGGTTCACGCATATGCAATTCTTTATTTGATTTGAAACCCACAGATTCACATAACAGACTAGATATTTTGTGTTCCTATTGAGGTGGTTCACACCAATGCGATTGTTTTTTGAGTGCCGTTATGAAAGTAATCCTGTGCGAGTTTGTAATGTGCATTCCAGACTCACAAGTGATAGAGTGGCATGTGGAGATAAGTGCTCACATAGGATTGCTATTGGCATGAGTTTTTGCATTGATATCTATGGGAGGCATTTTCACATTGAAGTCTATGTCAGGTGTTTTTCATATTGAAGTCTATGGGAGGTGTTTTCGCATTGAAGTCTGTGAGAGGCATTTTCGCATTAAAGTCTGTGGGAGGCGTTTTTAAATTGAAGTCTGTGGGAGGCGTTTTCACATTGAAGTCTATGAGAGGCATTTTCCCATTGAAGTCTATGGGAGGCATTTTACCACTAAAGATTATGGGAGGCGTTTTCCCAAGCGTTTTTCCACTGAAGTCTTTGGGGCACAACTTCCCATTGAAGTCTATGGGGCGCAACTTCCCACTGAAGTCTATGGGACGGGACTTCCCATTGAAGTCTTTGGGGCGCGACTTCCCATTGAAGTCTATGGGGTGCGACTTCCCAATGAAGTCTATGGGGCGCAACTTCCCATTGAAGTTTATGGGGCGCGACTTCCCATTGAAGTCTATGGGGCGCGACTTTCCATTTTAAGTCTATGGGGCACGACTTTGCACTGAAGCCTATGGGATTCAACTTCCCATTGAAATCTATGGGGCGCGACTTTCCATTGAAGTCTATGGGGCGCGACATCCCATTGAAGTCTATGGGGCACGATTTCCCATTGAAGTCTATGGGAGGCAGTGTGTGAACCCAGGCACCAGAACACAATCTCTAGTGGCCATGGCGACCTGGCGCTTGGCATTTGTCGAGCCTTGAGTTATACATCTCTGATCTGGGGGGCTTTATAGAGAGCATTGGCACGTGGCAATGATTAAAATGGTTAGCCGTGAACATGACACTTTAGTTCAAAGTCTTTTATATAGAACAGGGCGTCCCCAAACTTTTATGTATGAAGTCCACATTGCAAATTTAACAAATATTTGTGGGCCAAAAAAAAATCAGTTTTTGTAAATGAGTGAATGGTTTTATTTGATTTCTTTTAATAAACATGATATGATTTAGAAGAAAAGACAAAGAACTTTAGTAATAGTTCTGATCAGAGTCCCTCTTAGATCAGGGTCCCCATTGGCCCCCGACTCCTTTCTGTATCTGCGTAAGTGGGAGGCGGATTGTAATCGCCAATGCACCCCGCAGGATTGGAGAATATGATAAGCAATTTATGCTTTTGCACTAAATCACTCACAGCGAGTCTCGGTTCACACTACTACGACCTGAAAGTCGCGCGACTTTGCCAGGTGACTTGAGTACTACTTTGAAGCAACTCTGAAGCAACTTTCAGGGAAGTCCTGAGTAATCTTACTGTAATGTTGGATCCAAATCACATCAATATAGATGAGGATCTAACTTGGAGGCGACCTCCATTAAAGTCTGTGGGCAAAAGTCGAATAGAAGTTGCCTTGAAGTAGTACAGGAACCTTTTCTAAAGTCGAGCGACTTCAGTAGTGGTAATTAGGACAGCTCTCATTGACTAACATGGGATTTCACATGTCATGTGACTTGGGGGTCTCACAAGTTGGATCTTAGTATTCCCTCCAGCCCGTTCCCCCTCCCCTGACTTCTCCATCAAGATCAATAACACAATCATGAGTCCCTCCCCTCATGCCAGGGTACTAGGGGTAATCCTAGACTCCCATCTGTCCTTTCAGCCCCAAATCCAAGCTGTCCAAATCTTGTAGACTTCACCTCCGCAACATCTCCAAGATACGGCCGTTCCTAACCTCGGAAACCACTAAGCAACTTATTCACTCCCTGGTTATATCTCGCCTTGACTACTGTAACTCCCTCCTCATTGGCCGACCTCATCGCAGGCTATCCCCTCTTCAGTCTATCATGAATGTTGCTGCCAGACTCATCCACCTTACTAACCGTTCTGTATCTGCCACCCCTCTCTGCCAATCCCTCCACTGGCCTCCACTCAGTGTCCTCCACCCCTCTCTGCCAATCCCTCCACTGACCTCCACTCAGTGTCCTCCATCCCTCTCTGCCAATCCCTCCACTGACCTCCACTCAGTGTCCTCCACCCCTCTCTGCCAATCCCTCCACTGGCCTCCACTCAGTGTCCTCCACCCCTCTCTGCCAATCCCTCCACTGACCTCCACTCTGTGTCCTCCACCCCTCTCTGCCAATCCCTCCACTGGCCTCCACTCAGTGTCCTCCATCCCTCTCTGCCAATCCCTCCACTGACCTCCACTCAGTGTCTCCACCCCTCTCTGCCAATCCCTCCACTGGCCTCCACTCAGTGTCCTCCATCCCTCTCTGCCAATCCCTCCACTGACCTCCACTCAGTGTCCTCCACCCCTCTCTGCCAATCCCTCCACTGGCTTCCCATTGCCCAACGGATAAAATTCAAAACACTAACAATCACATATAAAGCCATTTATAACTCTGCCCCAAATTACATCACCGATCTTGTCTCCAAATATCACCCAAACCGTACTCTCCAATCCTCACAAGACCTCCTACTCTCTAGCTACCTTGTCTCCTCCTCCCATGCTCTTCTCCAGGACTCTTCCAGAGCTTCCCCCAACCTCTGGAACTCTCTACCCCACATTTTCAGACTATCGCCTACTCTGCTCACTTTTAGGCGATCTCTGAAAACCTATCTCTTCAGGGAAGCCTATCCTGCCCTCAGCTAATAATGGAATCTTCTACTCTTCCTACCAGTCCATCCCCCACAGTTACTACCCTTTGTACCACTAGAAGCCCCCCCCCTCCTAGATTGTAAGCTCCAAGGATCAGGGCCCTCCTAACCCTCTTGTATTGAACTGTATTGTTGCTGTATTGTCTCCCTTTACATTGTAAAGCGCTGAGCAAACTGTCGGCGCTATATAAATCCTGTATAATAATAATCTCAAGTCGCAGCAGTGTGAACCGAGCCTTAAAGAGGCAACTCTCAGTCTCTTGACTAGGCGGTATTACACCATCATTAGACTTCATGCTATTTTTCCACATTCTTCAGATCTTTGCTTTTGAAGTTGCCCCCGTCAGGGTACTTTGTATCATATGATTTGGTCCTGCGATGTGTTACAACTGGTGTGGAGCAAAGTTAACGAGATCGCTTCTAGAATTTCTTGTCAGGCACTTCAACCGACCTCTTCTACACGCCGGATCCCCGGAATTACATACCATGTGGAAAGATTCATACATACTGTCTGTGTTGCAACTCTTTGGGCCATAGCGCTTCAGTGGAAGTCTGATGCAGGGGCGGACTGACCATTTGGAAACTTGGGCACTGCCCAAGGGCCCGGGGTCAGTAGGGGGCCCCATGAGATGCCCCTGGTACCTTTTTCATAGGCTTTTTTGAGTTTGGGCAAGGACACGGGCCCCATGATCCCCTATTGCCCGGGGGCCCCATGAGTTGTCAGTCCACCCCTGGTCTGATATCGTCTCTTTTTCACTTATAACTGATAGAATTGACACTAATATGTTGATGGAAAGGATACATCATATGTTGTATGCTACGATGCACTGAGAAGTGAGCCACTCGGAAAGCTTCCCGTCATTGATTTTTATAGGATATTTTTGTGACGCTGTAATGTAATATGTCTGAAATATTTGTAACATGATGCACAATATCTTCATTTGTTGTACGCTCCTATTGATGGTGTATCATTCTCATGCCTTTCACGATTGTCTAACAGTTATGCTGTTCTTTGGCATTTAGTTCTGTTTCGTCCCCTTTTTTTTTATGATGACTGTAAGCTGATGACTTACTTTTGTCATTTGTAATTTACATCTTATTTACATATAAAAATAGTTTGCAAAAAAAAAAAAAAAATCAGGGTCCTACATCAGTAGCCCCTTTATATTAGGGACCCCATCAGAGTCCCCCATACATCAGAGTCCCCCATACATCAGTATCCCCATCAGAATTCCCCCTTACCACTGAAAGGCTTACAGCGTGGGCAGCAGGGAGGAAGATGGAACAGGTCCGGAAAGAGGAAGTTCTGTCGTCCTGTAAATGCTGGGGCAAGCACGTCATTGGAACTAATGATAGGAATGGTGACAGGCAGCCTTTACGGACCTGATTACCCAATCTTCTCACAAGAGAAGCGTGCTGCATCTGTGGGTGGTTTGCGAGTGCAGAAATCGCATCGTTTCTTGCACCTGCAACCAGCCCGTAGAGTGTGGTCTACTGTGAACCTAGAAGAAGGCCCGCACTAGTGTGAACCTGGCCTTACACTGGTGGGTACTGAGAGGAAAACCCTTTTATATTGGTGGTCAGGTGAAGAAGGACCCTCCTACATTAGTGGTCAGTGGGAGAAGGAGCCTCTTATATTGGGGGTCAGTCAGAGAAGGACCCTCTTGCATTGGTGGGCATTGGGAGAGGGAGCCTTTTACATTGGTGGTCAGTCAGAGAAGGACACTCTTGTATTGGTGGTCAGTTAGAGAAGGACCCTCTTGTATTGGTGGTCAGTGGGAGGAGGACCCCCTTACATTGGTGGTCAGTAGCAAAAGGATGCTCTTACATTGGTGGCCAGTGGAAGAAGGTCCTCTTACATTGGTGGTCATTAGCAAAAGGATGCTCTTACATTGGTGGCCAGTGGAAGAAGGTCCTCTTACATTGGTGGTCAGTAGCAAAAGGATGCTCTTACATTGGTGGCCAGTGGAAGAAGACCCTCTTACATTTATGGGCACTGGGAGAAGACCCCTTTAGCACTGATGGCCAGTAGTAAAAGGATGCTTCTACATTGGTGGTCAGTGGGAGAAGGACCCTCCTACATTGAAGATCGTTCAGAGAAGGACACTTTTACCTTGGTGGTCAGTGGAAGAAGAACCCTCTTACATTGGTGGTCCATGGGAGAAAGACCCTCTTAAATTGGTGGGCACTGGGAGAAGGACCCTCTTAAATTGGTGGTCAGCAGGAGACAGACCCTCTTACATTAGTGATCAGTAGGAAAAGGACTCCCTTAAATTTGTACAGAGTGGGATAGGTCCCCTTTGCAGTGGTGGTCAGAGGGAAGAATGTCCCACTAGCTAAAAAGATCTGTGGTTCCTTATCTGAGAGGCAGAAATTTTTATTGCTCAAGGATCTTTAAGCAACCTCTAGAGGAACCCTAGTTGAGAAAGGCTGCATTTGAAAGTTGAAAGGCTGCCATGTCTTTGCTATGAGGGGAAGCCAGGGAGGATCAAAGGCAATTTATAAGCTCCAGCAGACAGGGGGCTGGGATCTGACTTCACACGCTGCACAGCATAGTGAGAAGAGGTCAGTGTCATCTGAGACCTGAGCGGAGAGAATGGACACCACCCCCTCTACACACTCTAATAGGGAAACATGGACAGCTGAGGCTGTCAATCACATTCTGTGTGCTAGAGGGGGTAGGTTGCCCGGGGCTGTCTTTAAGAATTCTTTGGTATTGGCACAGACCAGGATTGTCAAACTGGCGGCCCTCCAGCTGTTGCGTATCTACAAGTCCCATCATGCCTCTGCCTTTGGGAGTCATGCTTGTAACTGTCAATCTTACAATGCCCCATGGGACTTGTAGTTTGGCAACAGCTGTAGGGCCACCAGTTTGACACTGTCAGAAGTGAGTCACGCAGATAGTAGAGGAATGACAAAGGAGGCAGAAATCACACTAGGTGCTTTGGATTGCGGCAAGCACACACTATAGAAGGATATGCTTGGTTCATTTTTCAATTCAGAGCTTTACAACCAATTTACTGTTTTTGTTTCCAGGAAAAATAGAATAGCAGGCAATGAAAGACTTGTGTTGCAGCCACTGCAGCAATCTGTAGCTCAGTCAATGAGCATTTGACTTTTTGTTATATTTTGTTTGGTATACCCTGAGGAAGTCACGTGGTCGTGACGCAACGCGTCGGTATGTCATTTCCGGTGACCCACTTCCAGTTGGACGCATGTTTGGGCTCCATCATCTGATCCATGCAGTATACCCATACTAAGTGGTGGCAATGCGATGTTACCATTTCCTACATGTGAGTGGGCATTTTTTAATTTACCTATTGATGATAATAAATGGTTTTACACTATGGAGGATGTTCTGTTTTTATATCTTTGACGTTATGGCTCTGTGGGGAGTGTGACCTGAGATTGCTAGTGGCAGAGGATTTCCATGCAACTTCCTGGTCTGGATGTGGCTTCGTGTTGATATTCATAAGGCGAGTTGGCCCTTGTGGTCACCGCTTGGAGGTGAGGGGCCATTTCTGCCGTTTAGGATTCTTTCACCCGGTTTGAAGATCACCTACCACGAGCACATAGCTGTTTATCTGCAGCTACTCTGCATGTTGGATACCCACACTGATTACCAGCACTAGTGTGATTATTATACAGTTCGTTCTGGACTTTCTTTCATGGTTACATATGCATTTAATATATATTTGTGGAAGTGATTATATTTTCATTTATTTATTGGTCACTTTTGCCGTGTCTTCACCCCCAGAGGGGTCACATGATTTTATCATCAGTCCCCTAGTGGACTAGGGGTGGCTGGTTTGTGGTTTTTTCCCAATTTGGGAAAGGGTTCACTTGGATGAGTACAGGTTTTACCTGTTCACCATCAGCAGCACTTTATTTGATCTGATTGGATCAACACATTGTATTGTCATTTTATTGATTTATTTATTTACTGTGTGCTCATTTTATATCTGTTTTTATTTGTCTCATATTGCTAGTGCTTCACCATTTTTTTGACTATGACTTTTTGTTATGTTTGGCACTAGCTACAGAATTACCAGCTTCGCTAGCTACTCATGTTAGGCAATGACAAGCCTTGTACGGCATTTCTTTAGCTATCTACGAATCCCCAGAGACGAGTTTTAGAGAGGTCTATAGCTGCTAAAAATGTCTTCCACAAAGTTGATGGTGTTATGTGGCCTAATTGCAGAATTGTTAGCATGTCACACAGCAGCTGCAGGTAAATTTTAACTTTCTTTTTTTTTTTACCCTGCACTGTTCATTGGGTTCAGCATGGGAGCAGAGGACACCAGAATTCCAGTACATCCTGGCTTGATTATCATTCATCCTTCGCTTCACAAGCAGCACCATAATACAAAGTAGCCCCTTTTTTTCCTAT